CCCCAGCCAGCAAGCTTGCTGGCTGGGGGAATTTGGAAGTTGAAATCCACCCCTCTTAAAGTTGCCAAGGGTGAGGAAACCTGCCCTAGGGAACTCTGGGCTTGATGGGTACGCCTTGTTTCAGAAACAAGGCAACACAAGAGAGGCAGCTATGTAGCCCTGTGTATCAGGAACAAACTCACCTGTATAGAGGTCCACTGGACTGATGGTAACACCCGTGTTGAAAGCAATGGGGTTAAGATAAAAGGGCAAGCTAACCAAAAGGGTATGTTGCTTGGAGTCTGCTACAAATCACCAAAGCAGGCAGAAGAGGTAAAGGAAGATTTATTTCAGCAGATAATTAAAGCTTAAAACAGTGAAATGGTTCTGATGGAAGGTTTCAACTATCCAGGTATCTGCTGTAAGACTCATTCTGCCAAATGTAAGATGTCAGCTAAATTCTTGTGTTGGTGGTACTTTTCTCTTTCAAAAGTATGAGGAGAGCTCTGCTATCTTGGATTTGGTCCTTGCTAAAAGGGAGAAGTTCACTGAATATATTAAAGTGGTTTGGATGTTGGATGCAAGTGATCACATGCTTTTATCAAAAACTCATAAAAATAGTCTAACTCAAACCATGGATTTTAGAATGCTAAACCAATCCTTGTAGTATAAAAGTTGGTTTGTTACTTAAGCCACACAACTATACACCTTTGTTTACGAACCAAAACAGCTGAGAGCACACACTTATTTTGCCCAAACCAAACAATCTATAATATATTTTAGTGTAATATATAATTGCAATATGATAAACCCCATAGGGAGGCAAAATAGCAGCAGTGTAGGTCTGTATATCAAGGAGGCCAGAGTCGTATCAATCCAAGATGAGATAAATATTGTCAACATTCTAATAAAAATATGTAATTAATCATCACGATCAATATCTGTATTATAAACCAAGAATGCAGCCAATGTAATACCAGTATTTAAAATGGAATTGGGGATTCAAGGCTGGGTAGTTTACTGTCTAATTTAGAAAGTATTATAAAAGGTAACACTATGCACATAGAAAAATAAGTTTTACTGAATAGGAATCAACAAGCTTCTTTAGAAATAATTTCATTAACCATTTGGGTTCCTTGGGAGAGTTAATGTATGAATAACTGCAGTGGGGTAGATATTTCTATAAATGGACTTGCAAACAGCTTTTGACTTCACTAAAAACCTGGGATAAAAAAGACAATCTCTTATAGATCCATAATGATTAAAGAACAGGAAGCAAAAAGGAAAGGGGGAAAATGAGTTTTTACAATAGGAGAATGTAAGCAATAGATTTCTTTAGGATATATGACTGGGAATGTTAAACCTTTTCAAGTATAATCAAGAGTTAAGTATGAATAGTCTGATGACCAAGTCTGCAAAGGAAATAAACAATTGAGCACAAATAAAAAATGGGACTGCAAAAAAATGGGACTGCATTCACTTCATCTTTCTGAACTGAATGGAAAAGAAACTGGTAAAAATACAAGTCAGTCTGCAAACTGAAAACAAATGTTGAGGGGGAAAGTCTTCATATTTCTATCAGGCTGGCCAGAGTATAAATATTTGGATAGTGGTAAGTAGCTCAGTGAAAGTACTACCCAAGAATCACTCATTGGTTAAAACAATTACTTCCACAAAAATAGATTAGAAATGAAACTAAACAAATCTAAGATGCAAACACATTTGGAATACTGACTACTACTAGTTCTGGTCACTGCATCTCCAAAAAGATGGAAAAGTTATGGGAAGGAACAACCAAAATTATCCTTTCCTGAAAAAATCATTGTTGGCATTTTTTAGCTGAAAATGTGAAGAAGACGTAACAAAGATATCTATAAGTGAAGTCCTTGGTGCTCTCTGATCTTGGTTTTTGCTTGCAGATGTTTCATGATCCAACTAGGTAACATCATCAGTGCGAGTGAATGTGGGGTTTTCTCCCTGTTTATATACAGTAGCTTGCCCTGCCAGTTTTGGTGGGGGTGTGGTTTCTGAACTGATGATGTTACCTAGTTGCATAATGAAATATCTGCAAAGAAACCACCAAGCCCAGAGAGCACCAAGGACTCCACAGTTCAACCGTGAGCAACAGATATTCTCTTCTGTTGGGATAACTGGTGGGCAATTCCCTTCCCTCCCATTTTTCAGAATACCAGATTCCAGCTTCATAAACTGAAGCTAAACATTTGGAGATTATGGCTAGATTATTGTTCATGAAAATATCTGAAAAAGTATCCTCTTTCTACAAGAGTTAAGTCAGTTAAGAAGGCAGTCCTTCTCCTCCATCTCTGTGTATAACAGAAAATATCCAGTGACTTCACTGGGATGGACGGTTAGGGATCCAAATGCTATTTCTCTAGGCACTATCCTTAAATAACCTGACTGGGTTACTACCAGCTGAAAGCTAATAGAGGCAATTTTGCATAAGAGACACATCTAAAATACTATCCGCTCTTGGCTCTGCCATTCCCATAACTAGAATGTGGATCCCGCAGACACTGAGGCAATTACTCATCTTCTAGTAGGATAACTATGAAAGGAAGTACTTCTTCACACAGCTCAGAGAATATGGAATCTGTAACAGGAATTTAAGATGACTTTTAAAGGAAATCAGACAAATTCATAAAGGTTAAGACTACAAATCTTCACAAGCATGTGCTGCTGCTGGAGAGCGACTGTGGGTGAACAGTGTGTGAGGCTGTCACAGACTTCACATCCAGCCTATGGGCTTTCCAGAGGTAGCTGGTTGGTCACAGTTGGGAAATAGGCCACCAGACTAGAAAGGCTTTTGGTCCATCCAACAGAATGGTTCTTACTTTCTTAAATATATAAAATATTCATTTTGGTAATCTTGTAGGAAAGTAAATTTTATTTCATATTTTCATCCATTAAAGATTTATAGAGAAAAAGAGAAGAGACTGAATATTAATTCCTTCATATGCTTCCTTACTATACTGTGGCTGCATATTTTCTTTTCCTTAATTAAAAAAAACTGTTCCTCTGGAAAATCTGAATGAAAAAAAGTATAGAAAAAATGAAATAATAAATTGCAGAATATCAACTCCTGTTGCCAGCTGGAGCAGGGGGAGAGATGGATAGAGAAGAGACATGAATTCAGTGAATGCACGGCCCTCTCTCTAACAGATTCCTAATCCTCATGTCTGAAGACAGATATGCATAGCAGTTCACAAGCTTGTTCCCTTTGGATGTGAAGCAGTCTCTGGAGATTTCACTTTTGCTTCCCCTCGTGTCCATGGTTGCCGTAATTTGAGCCCTTGTTAATTTCTGTAACTCCTATCATCCATCGAACACCAACTGAAGCTGAAATTAAAAAAAAGAAAAAAAGATACCTAGTGTTAAACACAGAGAAATAAGCGGAAAACTGATAGCAAGTTTGCTTTCATATAGTGAGAGCATATATCAAATTTTATATTGACCCATTAGTAGTCCACCATGTTATGCAAAGAAGGAGAATTATTCACCATTTGGGATATCATGCTAGAAATAAATGCTTTTCCTCTGAAGTCATACAAAAGTCCAGCAAAGGAGGCAGGTTAAAACTTAGAACAAAAGTACAATAGTGATGATTGTCAGATACTTTGTTCAATGAGATGGATTACTGTACTATCCATTTTATCTACTTAAAGGTATATCACTAATTTAAAGTCATTTGTATATCTCTTACTGAATTTTTTTTTCTGCGTTAATTGGTAAAAAAAATTACATTATAACAAATTCTTCAGTGAAGAATTAAACTGATTTCAGACTGAATTGGCTAGTTTTTGAGCATTAAAAAAGTAGGATGCTATACAGGTAGTCCTTGATTTATGACTGTTCATTTAATGACCATTCAAAGTTACAACAGCACTGAAAAAAGTGACTTACAACTGGTCCTCACACTTATGACTACTGCAGCATCCCCACGGTCACATGATCAAAATTTGGGTGCTTGGCAACCAGCATGTATTTACGATGGTTGCAGTGTCCCAAGGTCACATGGTCACCATTTGCGACCTTCCCAGGAAGCTTCTGACAAAGTCAATGGGGGAAGCTGGATTCGCTTAATGACCATGTGATTTGCTTAATGACTGTGGTGATTCGCTTAACCACAGTGGCAAAAAAGGTAAAATTGGGCATGACTCACTTAATGATCGCATTGCTTAGCAACGGAATTTCTGGTCCCAATTGTGGTCATAAGTCAAGGACTACCTGTATATGAAATTCGAAAGCTCTCTGAGCTCAAAAGTGCTTACTTCCAGACAATATGGTGAATCAGACTATAACCATAAAAAAAACCTTGATATTTAATGACTTGTAAAGCCATGACTCTCCCACAATCTAGACTTAAGATCCAACATAAAGGAGGAAAAATGGCCATTCTTACATCCTATAGCTGCAAGGATTTTATAAGGTAACTTCTAAAACTGTTCTCCCTCAGTGATGGTAGCAGAAATGCCTCTTCCAGCATAAATAATTGCCAAGCGTCTTGACAACACATAAAATTCAGTAGCAATAAACAAACATGATAAAATATTATTTGCATAGAGCACAAATGCTGCCATCACTCCCCCACTCCCACAGATATATTCACTTGGCACAAAATCAGTAGGGACTATGGACAGAAAATTCATTGTAGTATTTGCAAGACTAAATGATTGACTCACTTGAGCTTACTAATTTTGTAACAGGCTATTAAATGACTGTATAACAACACTTCCAAAGGAAAATAACCAACCACCAAATATACCATTCAGTGAAGAGACTCAGCAACTCTAGCTAGGGAAATCCAAGAAACTGACCAGTATAACATATATGATTCCTATTATATCAAAACAGTTTTAGATGAGCAAAATTATAGCTAGACTGGTCATAAAAATAAGAACTCAAAGCACAAACTAGTGTAATTCCACAAGCAACATAAACCTCTCTTGCATAAACCATATATATGACTTTCTGGGCTGGACAATGTTCTGTCTATTGAGTGTTGTTTGATTTCTCTCCAAATGGATCTTGCATATTAAGAAAGCTTTTCTGTGTTTATTACTGGCCATTAAGCCATGTTCTAAATGGAAAAAGTAATTTGCGGTAACAGTAATCCATGCAAAGTTTCATGTTGACATAACAACATACAGCTGGCCTCCTCAACTTTTACATGCAACTCCTATTATTTCAAGTCAACATGGTTTGTGGAAAGCAGAGTTATGGTAATATAAGAAAATTATTGTTTTCTGTTTAGTTTTCTTAACTGGAATCTCAGTAATAACCAAGACAGAGAACAGCACCACAAGTTCAGTTTATCCCATCCATTACTTTAATGGACCTGAGTGAGAAACTCAGTCCTGGGACAGCTCAAACAATTTCACTTACTGACTTCAAGACTTCTTCAAGGTTCTTAACCATTAGACTCCTAGCAGAGGCCTAGAAAGGAGGGGAGAGAAAGAGAAAGAAAGAGAAAGGAAACGCATGCACAGGAACACATGCACAATTCAGTTGAAACTGCATGCTCATGCGCTTATATAAAAGACATTATGTTGAGGCTGACTCTGTTGCAGAAATTACTGAAAAGAATCCATAACCTGCAGTATAAGGTAAGGTCTCACTTTTTAAAGGGTACAGGTAGTCCTCACTTACTAACTGCCTTGTTTATCGACTGTTTAAAGTTATGACAGTTGAAAAAACCTCCTTTGTGACCAATCCTTGTATTTACGGCCATCACAGCACTCTGCAGTCATGTGATTGCCATCTGGGTGCTTTGCAACTGGTGCACTTTTACAACTGTTGCAGCATCCTGTGGTCACGTGATCGCCATTTGCGAGCTTCACAACCAGCGTCCAACAAGCAGAATGAATGGAGAATGCAGAAATGAAATCGCATGTTGTGGTGATGTCTCGCTTAATGACCATGGTGATTCGCTTAATGATGAAAGTGGAAGTGAGGTTGTAAGTCCAGCATGGTTGCATGAATTTTTGCTTAGTGACTGTGACGCTTAACAACAGAGTTGCCAGTCCCAATTGCGGTCAGTAAGCGAGGACTACCTGTACTTTCTATTCAATTAAGTTACTAACCCAGAATCCACTTTTGTTCTTGCTCTGGCTACAAAAAGGTAATGTAAATGGAGGGAGGGAGGGAAGGGGTTAATAGAACCATAACAAAATGAGAGAGGCAGGTGTGCAAGATAGAGAACTCATTTAATCTCAAAAAGTCTTAAATCAAAATACATTATCAATTTCAGTGCAATTTGGCCATAATGAATTTTAATAATTAGCTGATTCCATGTTCAGCTGAAATTCACAAAAACAAGTTATGCATCAACCAGAGGAATTCTGTATTTTTGAACAGCAGCTTAATAAGGCTAAAATACTGGCAGCTACCTGGAAAATGAAAACTATAGGAAGTAAGCTGCAGAGGAACCCAATATACTTGATTTTGTGATGGCAGCTATTAGCCCCACATCATTCAGAGACCTCATTAATCAATTATTATCTTAACTCCATTCTAACTGACAAGATCCTTCCTCTGCTGGATGGTTTCTTGTAATTTCTTTTGAAATACCCCATGTTTACTATGGCTATACAGAGCTTCAGGTTCAAAGGCAAGAAGATGCTCTACAGTGCATGAGACATTAGCATAGCATCCATCTGCAACTGTGTCTTCCATCAGAATTGCACAACTGCCCTTTATAGTTGCAGTAAGACCCCAGGAAAAGACACATTTGTTTTAAGAAGTTGCAGGCAAGCGTTACATGTGCACCCCTGTGTGCTCCAAAGCACCTTTTTCCCTTTGAATGGCAGCAAACTCTACTAATACATAAGCTCAACTAGTCAGTTATTAACATCAGAAGGAGATGAGGTAGATCACAGTGCTATTCCATCAGCTCTCCTGAAATACAATGTCCGTCAAGATACTTTTCCTGCATTTTCTCCAACTGATTATCACACACAAGCGATTATTTTGACACCCCAAGCTCATTCTTTTCCTCTGCCCTTTTCATCTCTTGGGCCTTTTATGTCACATTTTTTAGAACGTAAACTTGTGGGCAAGAACTTTCTTCCCCCAGTGGCTGTAGTTAAGTTTCTCATATTGCCTTTGTGGCTGAAGAGAGGAACAAGATCTATAAATATACAAAGAGCAACATTATAACCTGCCTCATCTGCTTTTTGAGCCCTAGCACATCATCTAGTAGAGCTCAGATATCCCCCAAAAGTGAAAAACTGTTGACACAATAGCAAAGAAGGCTCTAAGAAACCAAAACACTTGTCAGTCACAGAAGCACATGTAAACGTGTTAGATTTATATCCTGTCTTTTCTTCAGGAGCTCAACTGGGATGACGCTCCCTGAGTGATTGCCAATTATTTTGGATCTTTTTATTTTCTATTTATTATTGTAATTTTGTCATTTTAATTGATTTTAATTGTTTTGTAAACCAAATATACAAAGAGCAACATTATAACCTGCCTCATCTGCTTTTTGAGCCCTAGCACATCATCTAGTAGAGCTAAATATACAAAGAGCAACATTATAACCTGCCTCATCTGCTTTTTGAGCCCTAGCACATCATCTAGTAGAGCTATTAAAATTACAAAATTACAATAATAAATAGAAAATAAAAATTTTAATTGATTTTAATTGTTTTGTAAACCACCCAGAGTTGTGGTGGTGGGTGGTGACAAATTCGATAGATAGATAGATAGATAGATAGATAGATAGATAGATAGATAGATAGATAGATAGATAGATAG